GAAAGTGTATCATTTTCAAACTCTTAGGCTACATAGATTTCTTCAATACTCTTCTATTTTTACACATTATCTATAAAGCTCACTTCATGAGCACCTTTCAGCCCCACTCATTGCTCTCGCTATAAACCTTATCAGGTGCACTTTTGGTATTAGCCTGCATATACACGGCTGTGATTGGATGAATCGTCAGTTTGTATGATATTAATCTCCGGCCAAACAGTCCCTGCATGCATTGCCACCCCAAGTAAAATATCAGGTTCATAAAATGTCTTCCACTGTCCCATATTAAACTATGTATGCATACTAGTATGTAAAATGGGATATATATAGCATACTTGAAGATTATATATTATTTTGTTTTTTCATGAATAATTGTTGTTTTTACTCGGTATTGATTGTCACTGTAATTTCTGATGTTTGTAGGTTAAAAAGCTGCAGGTTATAGATTTCTTCACAAAATTTGGACCAGTTCAGAATGCTTATCTTGCAAAAGATCCAACAAGAAGACGTATGCATAAGGGGTGAGAACTATGAGTTTAATTGTACTGCTTTCATCAATAGGCATCAACATGTAATTGTGTGGGTTATGTCATCAGTGCTTCCGTTAACTTTTTCACCACCAGACTTTCTCGTCCAAATCTGTCTGCATTTTTTTTATATTCGTCAATATTTCTGGAAATAAACCGTACTGGTAATTTTGGAGCCAACAGACAAGATTTTAGAAAATTTCCAGTTTTTACTGAACTTCTGAAGGAAATTGCAGACTATAATAGGTCTATTTTGTGAATTTGTGTTGAAAAGGTTAACTGCCATTATCTTTAGATAGAAAGATGGAGATGACATAGTCTCAAACGTTAATGGTTTTGTGAAAAAATGACAAATGTACTGCTAAAACAGGAGTGTCAACAGTGGAGTTTTTAAATTCATGAAGAAAGAATGAACTTGAGAAATACAAAACTCATTTTTTTTCTATTTCTAAATTACTTTATGCTAAAACAAGACCAGAGATTCTTTAAAAAACACATACACATAGATTTAAACCAGATAGGGAGAACCATACCAGTTTTGTTGTCTTTATAAACACTGATCTGTATCCTAAAATAACCATGGAACATGCTTACATTCTTGGCATATTTAAATCTGAGTTTTAATTATATAATATTTTGTTGACAGATATGGTTTTATAACATTTCAATATGAGGAAGATTCCAAACAAGTGCTCGAAATGGCAAATCTAACATTGGATAACAGGTAATGAAACATTTAATAACATTGTTGAAAATTTTAGTATTTTTTGCATTTGTTGTATATTACACATTGTAATGATGGAACCAACCAGATCTGTAATATTTTTCCTAAAATCACATGTTTGAATTTCAGTAAATAAGAAACTTATTTTACATAAATTGTATATGTTGTAGTACCCCAGCCTTGTTCTTGCTCTGCTGAACCAGATTCCTTTCATCCACAAACATTTGAATTTGTATGACCTTTGTCCTGTGAATAACAGCCAATCACAAAGCTTCATCTGACACACATGTTTAAATAACTGAATCAATTAGTGACCATATTCGGAAAACACTACACATGTTCGTGTTGATACAACCCTACCAGTATTCTCTGATTTGGTATGCATTTCAAATGACAATCATACTACTGAAGTGAATATTCAGACAAACATTATTTCTGCAAACAATTTCTCTATCCAACAGCTGAATGAGGTACGTTATCTTCATGAAATTCCTTTTTCAGTCAGTTCACCATTCAAATTCGACCCACCGTCTCACATAGGATTCTTTAGTTCTTACATTCCAAGTATATGTAGGCATATATATATGTTGAAACTCAACTCCTTAATACTTTAACCAATGGAATTTCTTCATTTCTTTTATGAACATATGCTGCCATACAGGGGAGTGCCTCGACTCGCTGTTAGGTACTTTAGCCCTCATTTCTGAGAACCTCTCTAGGGACCCATATTGAACATAAAATGGCCGAAAGACCTTGGCACTTCAATAATATTATCACAAAGAATCACTAATTCTATTACAAATCAGATGACATCCCTGTAAATGTGCCATTTCAATTTTGTAATTTACGTACATTTAACTCATTTTTCAAGGAATGTCACATATTAAAGTAGGGGAGATTTACATAGCGTGTTATTGTTTATAAACAAGCGTCTGTCCATGAGCCTTTGCATTTATGGCATACGTTGTTATCATCTCTGAAACTAATGTTTTTGTTGCTTACTAGACTACTAAGAGTAGCACCTGCTGATTATAAACCACACCCAAAAGTATCACTACCAATGAGATTTGTAGACAAAGCTGAGGTAAGTTATCACTGATAACTGGCCCTTTTGTTTTCAAAATGAAAATGTTAGATGATGAAAATAGCTTTGTTATGCACATTATAAGATCAATTTGTTTTTAAATGTTGTTCATAAGACCGCTGGATACTGACTGACAACTGTATGCACTTAACAATATTTTCCCTCGATCATTCCAAAATGGGGACTAATTCTAGCTGAGCGTCCATCCGTTTGTGTATCTGTCCATTTGCACATGTATCTTGGACATGCCTAGACTTATTACATTCCAACTTCATACATACATTGTGGGATACGTATGCACAGGCTTTTATTTTGTGATTTGATTCAAGATGGCGAAATGGTGGCCATGCTAAAAATTCATCAAAATCAAGTATTTCTGTCATTCCAGAACCAGGATTGCTCATGTATGAATTGATTTTGTTTATACATTGGTGTATATAATGAATCTCCATCACTTCAGCTGAGAACACAAAAGATAAATAAAATAATAGAGTTTCTTTCTGAATGCATCTCACATCACCAGGCATGTTATTAAACATTTGACTTGTTTTTGCTTCTTTCTTACTTGATGGTATCTTGGAGAGATTACATATACCAGTAAATACATCAAACATATTGTGATGTGATTTGTTTTTCCAATGTTCTCAAAGACAGAAGCAGAAACAAATATTTGGTCAATGCTCTTGGCATGGTGGGGGTGGGGCAGGGGGATAAGTTTATGGATTTGAATAAGTTGGTGAATTTGTTTCTTGATGAATGTATTGTGAATTCTGTTGATTCATGGTTATGACACATTAGACCAATCACAATCATTTTTGAATTCATTTTTTACACTACCCCTGGTAATACAAATCTTTATGACCAGCAAACGACCATTGGCTTAAAAAGGTTAATACGTATCACAAGAGTATTCTTTTTTTTCCCAGTTACAATAATATTTCAGTGGCACCCTTCTAAACTTAAATGCCTGGTACACAAAAGCTGCAGAACATTTGGGGGTTGTAAGCAAAGTAATAAATTTAATATCTGTCGACGGAATAAAATAGATATATGGTATATAACAGTTTCTGATTATTTATATTTATAAAAGTCATTCATATATTTAGGTATTTAAAAATTACAAGCTAAAATATAATAATGACATTTTGAAAAAAAAAAACATTTAATTTTTTAGTCCCCGTTCGGACGAAGTCGGAAAACGGGGACTTATAATTCGGTCTCCGTGCGTGCGTCCGTCCGGAGTCATATTTCAGAATCCTTTGGACCGATCCCGTTCATTCTTCGCATGTGCCTAGTACTTTTTGTGGGACATATGCACATGCAGTGGTTTAGCGATTCGATTCAAAATGGCCGACTGGCAGCCATCTTGTTTTTTGAAAATGTTGTATTTTGGACATGCTTTGTCAGTTTTCATTCAAATTTGGTACAAAGATTATACATGTTAGGATACATGTCTTCTGACCGTCCGTGCATCCGTCCTTCCGTCCTTCCGTCTGTGCATCCGTCCGTTCGTGTGTCCGTCCGTCCAAGGTCATATTTCAGAATTCTCTGGACCGATTCTGTTCATTCTTTGCATGTGCCTAGTACTTTATGTGGGACATATGCACATGCAATGGTTTAGCGATGCGATTTAAAATGGCTGACTGGCAGCCATCTTGTTTTTTGAAAATGTTGTATTTTGGACATGCTTTGTCAGTTTTCATTCAAATTTGGTACAAAGATTATACATGTTAGGATACACATCTTCTGACCGTCCATGCATCCGTTCTTCCGTCTGTGTGACCGTCCGTCCATGTGTCCGTCCGTTCTTCCAAGGTCATATTTCAGAATTCTCTGGACCGATTCCGTTCATTCTTTGCATGTGCCTAGTACTTTATGTGGGACATATGCACACGCAATGGTTTAGCGATGCGATTCAAAATGGCCGACTGGCAGCCATCTTGTTTTTTGAAAATGTTGTATTTTGGACATGCTTTGTCAGTTTTCATTCAAACTTGGTACATAGATACATGTTAGGATACATGTCCATGACAATTTCTTTCGCAATTGGAACAAAGATGACCGACTGGCAGGCATCTTGTTTTTTTTTCAAATGTGGTATCTTGGACATTTGGCTTTGTCAGTTTTCATTCAAATTTGGCACATACTTTATACATGTTAGAATACATGTCCATGACAATTTGTTTCAAAATCGGATCAAGGATGGCCGATTGACAGCCATCTGACTCTTTGGCTTTACTACTATATTTCCAAGATTTATGTACCATTTTCATTCGTATTTGGCACATACATCATACATGTCACTTTGTTTCATAATCAGATCCAAGATGGCCGAATAACGGCTGTTTTTATTTGTGGCAATATTACTATTATCTCTGTCAACCATGTACCCATGTATTTTCATTGATATTTAGCATGTCATAAATGGGTACATGTACATGTCAATTCAATTTGCAATTGAATCAAATATGGCCGACTGGTGGCCATCTTGTTTGTTTAAAATGTGATAACTTGGACATGCTTTCACTTGTGATCTATGTTTTTCTTTGCTATGTCTTAAACCAGAGGGGTCGTCACGCGACACATGTTCGAATTTGATGTAAATAAACAATCTGTTGTATACGCCACTTGGGACTCAAGTTTCAAGGACATGCTCACGACAACCCCTCCACTTTAATATGACGAGCACAAGGAAAACTTTCAAAAATTTAACGGGGACTGTGTCATTTTCAATAACTTGTTTATTTTATGTTTTGAAGGACAAGATTTGGGAAGAAAACATTGATGTCAGATCCACCACCACCACCACCACACATAGTACTGCTATTGCTAGCAACCACAATGATAAACATTGTAAACCAATTCAAAGAACTGGTCAAAGAGCTGTCACTACAGACTCTGATGAAACTTTACCTCAACTAGTTGATAACCCTGCAATCTTCAATAAAGAGTCTGATGCTCAGGAGTTGAGTACTATGATATTAGACGAAAACAATATCAACATGTTAAATGATGACATAATTCTATGTATATTTGAGTACCTAAGTGTCAAGGACAAAATTAGGATCGAAAGAGGTAATACCAATATCATTTATTATTATACATCCGTCACCGTAACACCATGAGTTACAGTGTGCCATAATTTTGTAATATTTTATGGGTATTTTCTTCCCACCATATTAGGAAATGCGAATTCCAAATATGGATTGATTACGCACATAAGCATCCTCTAATAGTAAGAAGAAACATGGCTGCCTCCACGGTTTGACCGTATTCCACACAAGGAAGTTCGCTGATTCTGTTCTAAACTTTTCGGATTTCGGCATTCCCATGATGTATCCCTGGAAGGAAAAGATTTTTAATAATAGGGTTATTACAAGAATACCTCAAAATATGCACTCAGACAGTACGCTGTCGCATCGACCTCCGCTGCATGTCGGTTGATACTCCAGCCATACTGTCTTTGTGCATACTTTGAGGTATTCTCGTAATAACCTCATATTATACTGATCAAAAAACAGACATTAATTTTGTTTCAGTAATAATTTCTCTATTTCTCACTACTGTATGTGAACTACAGTTGTATGTATTAATTTTGAGTAATGGAATGGTAGTTTCCATGGCAACAAATGCAGAAAAGCTCTGTTTTCACAATGTGTACTCTAATGAGACTGAAACCCTCCTAATACATGTACCATAAATACCCTTTATGTATTCCACCCCAAATTATGCTTGTGTTTTGAGACATTTTTACTATCATGATATCTTTGTGAGAACACAGCTGATGGTTTAATATCACTTTTTCTCACAGTTTGTAAGAGATGGCAGCATTTATCATTGAAAACCTGGAACTCACTTCGAACTCTTGGATTTGACAAAATATTTGGTAGTTTCATGACTCTAGGAGGTGAGTAGATGATAGCAGCTGATATGTGCCAATATGCCACTGTGATGTGGTGAGGTTTTCATGTGGAAAGATTCATCAGTTGTTGATTTCAGAATATGCTTGTCGCTGGATAGTGTATCTTGTTGGGATAGCTTTATAGTGCGAAAAACAGACTAAACATAATGCATAATAACAAATTAGCATACTGTAAAATACTTTATTTTCGCTTGGAATTAATTTTCGCTATTTTCACTGAAGGGATGATTCAGTGAAAGTAAAATGCAGTGAATATACCTTTTTTCTTATATTTTACATTCAACTTGTCAAAAATCAGTGAAAATGAATTCCATACAAAACACCCCAAAAGTCTTTTCAGTGAAAATTAATTCAAGCTAAAATAAAGTATTTTACAGTAGACATTTCTGTGACAGCTCCGCCCCGAGAATATGCAACAATCTGAAGCAATTGAGAAATACAAATTCACCATTTCTCTTGCATTTGGATGTTTTAATACAATCCATATTCTCTCTGTTGCATTGTACCATTTTAAAAGAAGTCGCGGCTTCTAATACGGATATTACAGTACTTTGCAATAGACTCATATTGTTGGCTTCAGAACATTGTATACGTGTCTCAAATAGTCCACATTGGTGGTGTATAAACAAAAGTGTTTGGTACATGTATATGTGTCTTTTTGATTAATCCTAATTTTAGTATGTATTCTAATTGTTTTAGATTGTGAGATGCAGCATAGACACACCAACACGTTTAAGCACTTATGATGGTTACACTGTAGTCATTCTATGAGTGAGAGCATTTCTGATAATGAAATAATTGAGGAATTACTTGTCATATTTAGTCACCTGCACTTTAATATCAATTGCTTTGTCTTTGTGTAGCTTTGACGGACACTATATTGAAATCTATACTATGGCGTGGTTGCCAAGAATTGAAGTCTCTGGATCTTTCTGCCTCACCACATTTACTGACAGACTGGGGAATTGATGTCATAGGTAATTATGAACATGTATGTTACTATGTGGTAGTCAATAAGTCGTTATCAATAGTGATTGGGGGTTTTTCTAGAAAAAATGAACAAGAGGGAGCACACACAGGCGAAGGAGCGGAGCAGCACAGCTAGCACAGAAACAACATGGCGGATCAACATGGAAACGCCATATTGGAAAGTTTCTGCGCCGTTTTAACGGTGTATCTATCGCCATTGAAATATTTTTGGAGTAATTTTAGTGTATTTGGTATCCAGACACATTGTCAGCTGGTGTTGCTCGGAAGTTTTCACAGAGAAAAATATATTTGAGAAAGATTTCATGTTGTATGACAGCACGGAAGTGCATGGCTCTAGAAATATATTTATGACTTGAAAGTTCAATTGGCAATTAGGTAAGAGGGCGCCAGCCGAGAGTATCATGGTGCTGCGCCCCTGTTCCCCGGTTTAGAAAAAACCCTGGTGATTATAATTATGACTAATATACATCACATGACTGGACAGCTTATTGGCTGACGTTATTTGTGTATATGTTCAAATGTTGTTAAAACAAAATCTTGTTAAATTGCATCACCTTTTATTTTGATACATTGGATCAAGGGACAGGCAACTAACTGTCTGTTCTTAGATGTAACACCTCGTGGGAATTTGAACGTTTGATGGGCTAGATTGAATTCAGTATTCCAAGGCACATCACAAATATACAAAATGACATCACTTTGGAAATAGCTCATCATGTGCTTACTGGATATAATTCGATGTGACCTTGTATTGACCAATCATATGAATATGGTGTTATAAATAAATATAACTATACCAGTCAGTTTGTATGTTCATCCATGACAATAAACTGATTTATATTACATTTCAACTTCAGTATTTTTAATGCCTTAAGTCAGCCTTTGCCACTATTTTCAGTTCGAAAATTTTGAGTAAGGCTTTTAACCCTTGAAAGATTATGTTAATTTTGACGAGAATTAACAAAGAAATGACAGAACAATGCATCAAATGGTGCAAGATGTTGTACTAAAATTTCAGAAGAAAATGACGGTATTCAACAAGTTACAGAGGTAGATGCATAGTATACATGTATTATAACATTTTGCGAGAAATTAATTTTCATGAATTTCGCAGGTCAGTGAAAATTTTTAAATGTTGTAGTGGTGAAAAAATTCTCTGAGGTTTTATGATATGGAGAGTCATTAACTTTCGCGTAATTTTGTTTTCATGAATACCATCAAATAACAAAAAGTATATTTAAAGAATTTCATCATGACAAATAAGATGAAGCTTTTACAATCATTTCTCTTATGCTGTACTCAAAGGTCAGAGATGTAAAAATCTGGTCCATGTCAATTTATCTGGTGTCAAAATGTCCAATGCTGCTCTGAAAAGACTTGCAAACAGATGTAATAAGCTACAGGTAGGAATTGTTATAATATTGGAATTATGAAATTTACATTTAAAAGATTGTCAATATCAATATTGGATGTGATTCTACCATGCCTTGTTTTTGTTTTGACCCTGGTTATAGTATTGTGACATATGAACACGTAAAATATTATATGAAAAATTTGAAAAATTACTATCATAATAATACCTTGAAGATGATGCAATATGATATTGTCTCCCAATCACATTTAATTAATGTTTTTTTTTCAGTCTGTTGTATTGGCTGATTGTCTGTCAATTGGTGAGAAAGGGTGAGTGTTGTCAAGGTTATAATTTATTTATTTATTTATTTATTTATTTATTTATTTATTTATTTATTTATTTATTTATTTATTTATTTATTTATTTATTTATTTATTTATTTATCTATTTATCTATTTATCTATTTATCTATTTATCCATCCATTCATTCATTCATTCATTCATTCATTCATTCATTCATTCATTTATTTATTTATTTATTTATTTATTTATTTATTCACTTATTTATTTATTTATTTAACAGCTATTGCAATAAATGAAAATTGAAAAAAATAGGAATGACCTCAAAAAAAATCAACAACAGAAATGGAAGATAAATTACAACAAGCCAGATCCAATATTGATTAGGTCAACAAAGTTCATCTATTTTTACTACAGTACTGTTCAATTTAAAGTCGCAGTGGAGTTTAAAATGTTTAAAATATTTCCAATCTTTTTCTGTTTCAGAGTATGGTATTTGTTTAAAGATTGTCGTGATCTGATCTATGTAGATCTTTCACACAATGCAAGAGTACATGGACAGGTAAATATGAATCTCTCTGATCTATGTAGATCTTTCACACAATGCAAGAGTACATGGACAGGTAAATATGAATCTCTCTGATCTATGTAGATCTTTCACACAATGCAAGAGTACATGGACAGGTAAATATGAATCTCTCTGATCTATGTAGATATTTCACACAATGCAAGAGTACATGGACAGGTAAATATGAATCTCTCTGATCTATGTAGATCTTTCACACAATGCAAGAGTACATGGACAGGTAAATATGAATCTCTCTAAGCTAAAGGCAAACAAATCTCATCAATTGTTAAGAGAGAATTTATTAAGAGAGTAATTATTTAATCAACTGCAAGAAAATGGTACTCTTCTCTGAATTTGTTAGTAAGTGAATGAACTGTCAATGATATACCTGAAGATTTATACCTGTATTTATCAATATTAAATTTCAATTATTTGTTGAAAACAATTTACCAATCACAACACTATAAAAAATACCACTGATTGAATAAAACACCCAAAAAACTCATGGGTAATAGGCCTTCTAGTTAAATGTTTTGAATTTTTTTCTAAATTTCTTTAAATAAACATTCAATGATTTTCTGAAATTCTCACTAATAGATGTGTAAGATTTCTATATAATAGAAAAGTTGAGAAATATATTCCAATATTTAAATCTGAAATGATGTAGGAATGGTCTGAGTGGCCAGTGTAATTTTTAATTTGATTGCTTCAAATACATCTTACTTTAAAATATGATTGATATTTACTTTGTCATTATACATCTGTTTACATTTAACAGTGTTTTCACGTACTGAATGAGAATTGTTCTACTTTAATACTGAAAGGCTGTACCAAGCTAGCTGACTTAGGAGTGGGTAAACTCACAACAAAGTGTTATCAACTGTCTCACTTAGACATCAGTGATTGTTTATCAGTGACTGACAGTGCTATTGACTCCATCACGTCTGTAAGTAAAGTATTGTTAGAGGGAGAGGAGATGATGATTGGCTGTCTTCATGTACTCGTCCGTCTTAGCGCGACAGGCTACTCATGTTTTTAGGGGGCTGGTCCTTAGCTGAGCACCATCCTAAAAATTGTGCAAATGATAATTTTAGTTCACCACCTGCCAGATTAGGGGGAATATTATGTCTCGTTGGGGAAAATAAAATTGCAAAATTAATTGCATCATTGATTTCACTATTACAATAAAAAAACAGAAATTTTCACTAAAATATTCATATTTTATTACAATATTCATTAAGTCCCATCAGAATTTATGTTGTAAAAATTATTAGAGCCTGTCAAAGTCAAGATCTTTATCATTACCTTTCTTGTCAAATCTGTTCAGTTGTACGCAAACTCTAGTTAGTCCCCGT